GTCTGGCTTGTCCTTCAGTCCAAACGCAGGCTCAGCACTCCCCAGCTGTTTGCATGTGGAGAGTGTAGCCAATCTGTGGCTTTTGAGAGGAGTCTGAGTAAGCTTATGCATAGTCCCAGTGGCAGAGTCTTCTCATGCAACTAGTAGGAGCCCTGCTGTGTTATCTGAGTTCACAGTGGCAGGAAGAGCTTTGGAGGACAGCATCACTGAACTGCTTTGGCACCTGGGCTCTTGTTATGCAGCACAGTGGATCACTGATTTCTTGGTCATGAACGTGGCATTTCTCATGGGTGAGAACATCAGGTGATTCACATCTGAGTAGAGGCTGACGAGTCACAGGACTATCAGAAGTCCACAATCTCTTTGATAGCTCATCTGCCTGCCTTGTCAGAAAAAAGAGTGAATAGGAGAAACCTATTTTGATGCTTTCTCCATCAACCTACCAACTTAACACCACTTTTAAACAAAAAGGAATGCAACCAGCTTGACATTTATCAAGATAGCTTGGAGACAACAAATATGTTGCAAGCCTGAAGACAGGTGCATTACCACTAAGAAGGGTTTTGTTATGAATGTTCTCATTACAGTGTGTCATGGATAACTAACAGCATAGAGTTTGTGCCTTGAGGTTCAGCTTTGCTGTTGTTATATTGCTGTCACATGATTTTATGCTAATCTTTTAGATTAAATGGTAAATATAAAAGTCTTTATTCAATTAACAAAGAAGTAGTCATTAAAAGATGGTGATTGAAATAAAATGGTGAGAAATATTATCCTCTTAAATAAGAAATTGCTGCATGAGTGGACACAAGCAGTACAGGAAGGGATGGAATAAAGCTGAAAAAGAGAAAAAGCAATACCAAGACATGCCTCAGCTCTCTGTTTGGAAGGTAATTGTTCAGAATTTACTTAAGCTTTTTTACCCACTCTGCATGATACATGTAATGTATATCCTAAGTTCTGCATGTGAGTGTTCGCACACATTATGTTTGGTATTTACTCTCTCATTGGTTTCAATTTTTTTTAAGTTTACTCTTGGCTATAAACCCTCACTATAGCTTTTATATGAAGTAAAATAATGGACTCTTCATGTGATTATCTGTCTTCCTCACAGTAAACATCCAAACTGAAGGATGTATTGTAGTCCTGGACTTCTGTTTTAAACCTGTATTCTGATCAGATCTGACTGTAATAGTTATCCTTATTATTATTATTGTTATTTAAATGATTTCAATAGACCCCTGACAATTACCTGGAATAATATAGCCTGTGTATGACAGTGCCAGCCAGCAAGGAAGAAGGGAACCTGCCTACAGAGCCAAAAGAGCAAACACCCACCACTTTACCTGTTAGAAACCTAAAAAATGTCTTCTCTATCCTTATAGCAGGTAGGCAGATATGAAGTGTGGTAATTACCTGTCCCTTATCAATAATTAATACTTTTCACTTTCATTATGTTCTTTTCTTTCTGGTAACTACAACTTGTTCATCACCACACTTGCTGTGTGTCTCGTTCTATGCATTTCCACAGCTGTCACATGTTAGTTTTCTCGTGCTCTTCTTGGACAGGAAAGCATACAGAAAATTTTGGATTAATTTTTATAATCAGTATATCTCTACATATATATATATTGCTAAATGTTCTGAAAGAAATCAAGATAACGATCATTATGATGGAATTGGAGGGGATGGTTTTCTCTGCCTTACTCTGCCAACATCATGTCAGCTGCAAGTAAAAACCAGTAAGTTCTAGAAGCGGAAGTCTATATTGTTTTGCAGGTGTTTTGGTTATATTGACATTTTTCTTTTAATAGTCCTCTGACATATCAACAGTCATACATTGCAGTTGCACTGTGCAGGCGTGTGCAATCTTACTGTAAATGCCCAGCAGGGCATTCAACTGAGCATTTTATCTGCCTCATCCTCAGAATTACTGAGGGTCTTTACTTTTATCCTGGCTGTGACAGCAGGACCAGGACTGACAGAGCTCAGATTTCCTCTATCTTTCCATCACAGACAGAAGCCGTTGAGGAACCTCCATGACCAGTGTAACTTAGCATAGCTTGGCAACAGCTCTGTGCTGCAGTCAGACAGCCTGTTCTGGCTGCAGATGGTACCCTGATTTCTCCCTGCTTAAGCATCCCCTCAGCTCACACCCAGGCTCCTGCTGAAAGTTACTGCCTCCTCGGGTCTACTGGCATGAGTCACAGAATGGCTTTCTTGTCCAAAGCAGCCAAATGATGTAGGTTAAGGAAATAGGTTTTATTGAATCAGGTTAGGGAGCAACTAAGTGAGCAGACAGTGGCAGGTCTGAGGGAATGGATGAGGTGAGCAGGTGAGGGGGTTTCATCTGCACTGAGAAGAGGGTACCTGAGCACCACATTAATGACATCAGAACCCCTGCCTGTCTTCTGATATGGGAAATGAGAGTGACTTTTTGTGCCCTTCCTTCCTTTTTCCCAGACCAAGTCTGTCATATAGAAGCGTATCAAACTCAGTGCATTTGTTATTTTTAGGAGTTGAACAGGTGTTACCCCAGTCAGTGAACAGTTTCTCTAATGTTTTAATCACAGATCAAGTATAGAGAGTAGAATAAACTAATTTCTCCCACTAGCTGCCTTTGTTTGAAGTCTGGCTTTATATACTAGGTTAATTTATTAGATCTTTTAAATTTTCCTCTAGCTGGTTAGCATCTAAGGCCTAGATGTGTTACAGATAGCTCACAAAAATTCCATTTTGAGCAGTGACAGCTCCTGTCTCATATGAAAGCTATACATAGGTCTGGTCAGAACTTCAGCAGTAAGAGCTTTAGGAAAACAAATTATTATAGGAAGTGATTGATGCACTGACTAAATAGGTTGCAATCTTCCCCTGCAGTAGGTGGTGCTCACTGCTTAAATAAAATTAAATAGTGACAGTGATGGACATACCAGTTTTTGGTTGAGTCCTAAAACCAAGGATGGACAAATTGTGAGGAAAAGAAAATAAAATCTATGAGAGAGCAGAGCCTTGTTTCATATGGTGCATTCTCTCTAGTTAACCTTTCCTTTGCAGTTTTGTTTTTAAGTACTCTTGCTAAAAAACCTCCTCTGCATGCTTTTTTGCTGCAGGGACACCTGGTATATTTCAGTGTACAGTATACTTTAGGAAGGTCTCAGAATACCAGAAATGTTAAATTTTTATGTAAGCAGTGCTATTCTTGGTGAAAAGAATTGATTGATAATTTATATAAATGCAAACTTTACCTGTTCAAATGCTTTTTGTAGGGTCTCAAGGCAAATTGAAGTCAATGAGAATTTGGCCCAAATGCATTTGAAAACACCTAGAACAGTCTGTGTGTGTGTTTTAGGCACCAAAATACCTTCAAAAATGTGTTCTTCTGTCCTGCATTGCTTGTGTGGTATTGTGGAGAAGTAGTTTCTGTAGTTCCCAGATCCAGCCACATGCACGAGCCTCTTCTCAGCCCAATGCTGCTTGCAGGTTTTCCCTGCACTGCTGCTGCAGGTGTCTGCAGATGCTGGACTCTGCACCTTGCCCTCTCTGCCTTTCCTGTTTCAGCACTTTCTGGGTCCTGGCAGAGCCTGGGGCTTTTGCCAGAGGTGCAAGGATGTTGGAGACAATGTGTGCAGACTGGAGTGCGTGGTGAGAAGCCTGCCTCCATACTTCTGTGCTGAACAGAAGCACTCACAGGAACTAAACTAAGCCCCACGTGTTCCTTTGTCATAAAATTTTGGAATTCATGCTGGAATTTTTGATTTAGGCCATTCTTGAATTTTTAGGAATGTTTAGACCAAGATCTAAATTTTATTTCTAGAATGGTCTTGGATGTCAAATTTGTGAGCTCACCTCTGTCTAAGTACTTGGTTATTATTGGCTTAAAAACTAAAAAAAAAAAAATTCTCAATAATGAAAGCCTGTGTTTTGAGACTTTTTTCAAGACAGTTATGATATGGTTACCCAAGCAGAATAAAAATGGAAATTACAGGAAAAGTGCATGCTAAAATTTTTGTAGTTTGATTTACTATTTGTATATTTGCAGTTAATTATTAATGTTCCATAATAATACTTCACCTGGTAATAATAGCTATTCATTCCTTCATATTTCTAAATCTCTTTGAGAACCTAGAGAAGTGTAAAGTGTTATTAAATGAGTTTAAAATTGCAGCTGTTTTCCCTGCAATAGATTTCATCTTAAGTAAGAATGAATATTAAAGAAAAAATATATTTTTTTCTAAAGTGGATCTTCACAGACCTCCTGACAAAGTACATTTATTGGCATGCTTTTCATCTCTTTTTCTTGGTGATATGTAATTTTAGTTTGATTTAGCTGTTACTTCGTTACTTTAAGAATAAAAGTTCACCGAGGCTGACACTTGTCTCACAAGGCAAACTTCCACTCCAGCAAAAGTGAAGTAAAACCTCTCCTTTCCAGTCAGAAGAATATTCTCCTGTAATGCTTCTTTCATAAATATTGGTGCAGTGTTTAATAACGTCTTCTATACAGAAATCATGTCTCTCTGGAGAAATACATTGGTCTAAGAGCCCCAGAGATAGAAAAGTAAAATCCTTAGCTCGCTACCTTAAACCTGGCATTTTCTAGATGCAGTGTTCTGCATGGCTTAATTTTGTTTTGTTTGAAACCATAGTATTTCTATTACTATAGAACCTGTTGAAGTGCAGACTGTTAGCGTGTTGATGTAAATTCTGAAAAGGAAACAAATTTGTACTGTTTTCTTAGGCTACAACCAAGATTATTTTTTTGTATTTAAAAAAAAAAAATTACGATGATGTAAAGGTCCATGAGTTAAACTGCAACCCTTTGTGTAACAAGGAAAAAAGCCACCTGAAAATATGTGTAAAATGTGTTTTGAGCTGCAACAACGAACCCTTTCAAAACAATGCTGTCACTGTTTCAGTACTTTAAAGTGACACTGTGATTTTCAAGTATTAATAAGCATCCAGGGGGAGCTAGGGAGTAACAATTTTGCTTTTTCTAATGGTATATAAGGAAATATGAATACAGAGAAAAGTAGTATAAATGACTAATTCGTATTTTGGGGCTGGGGCTTTTTTTACTAGGAACTTTTGATAAGAAACTGGTCAGCCATTCTGAGAGTGGTGGAAAGCCTGTCAAGGTCACTGCCAAGGACAAGAGAGTCAATTAGTATGCAGATCAGAGCCAAGGAGTTCAAAGGTATTGTTCCAATTCAATCACATTAGCCAGGCCAGTAATGAACAAACGGCATGACCTTAATCAGGGAGCCTGAACCACTCATTGAAGGGTAGTCTGTGTGTCTCTGTGTGTATTTGGGGGGGACCAGGAGGAGGGGTTAGGGTGGCAAAAAGGATGTGGTTTCTTTTGTTGTTGTTGTGGTTTGGCTTGGGCTTTTTTTTTTTTTTTTTCTTTTTATTTTTTTTTTTTTGTTAAAGGGACAGCGAGCTCAGTCTGCTTAATTAGCCACCAGTAGTGGAAACTTATTGCTGGGTTCCTGTGTTCTGAAGTAAAAAATTGCTTTTATTTTTGGGTGATAACTGAAACAGCTTCAAATGGACAGGTGGCTTGAATATTTTAATAAAATGCATTCAGTGATATGCTAAAGGGTATGCAGGAGGAGGGAGATAACCTTATGTAAAACACCAAACCAAATTTTGCAATTACAGTTTCTCTCACACTGTACTAATTTTCTAAAAGTCTACACGCAAGGAATATTCTGAGTAATTTTTTTTTTCCCCTTAAACATAACATAAAGTAATCCGCACTCTAGTTAATAATGGAAAGAGTGCTTATTTATAAGAAATCTTTAGAATTCTCAGTCAGATAAATATTGCATCATACATAATTGTATTTTAGATATACAAATTGCTAAGTTGTTTCATGGTCTCAGCACAATGCACACTGCATGTTTCGGTGTACTCGATTTAGTACAGTCAAAAAGCAGCATTCACATTCACCTTAACAAATGCCCACTTTATTATAAGCTTACAAAATATATTTCTCTGCTATTTTTCATGTATACATTAGCACGTTCAAATACTTCTACAGAAATGTGTATGTAGTGAGGACACAATAATAAAATGACAGGATATATCTGTACTCATTTATATATTATAATGTCTGCATGTTTTTGCAAAGTGGTTTTTGAATGCATACTTAGGACTCCATTGAAATTTCTACATAAATCATGCCTGTGTTCCCTTTTTTATAAGCTAATGATTGAATTTGGTAGCCAAAAATACTAAAATAAGACTTCAAAGGGTAACATTTTTCTGCATTTGGATATGTAAACACATAGTTTCTGCATGTGGAAGGACTGAAAAAAAAATCTCTGTGAGAAATCAATATTAACCATTGAAAATGTGAATGATGCTTAAAATACATTCTCGTGGGTTACCTGCAAGTTTTGTGTTCACATGGTTTACTTACAAGTTATTGTTTTGTGTTTATATATAAAATAAATTATAAGTTTTCTGTATCTCTCTGGGTAACATTTGCTCAACAGTTACTTCAATTGGATCAGATTATCAAAGAAAGCTGCAGGCTTCATTGGGGAGACTGCAGAAATCATTCATTTCTCTGTAAATGAATCCTGATAGGCAACTAAGATTTTAGGGATCAAGGGGCACTTGGGTTTTTGTTTTTTTGTTGTTTTTTTTTCACTCTCTTCATCTCTCTCTTCTTTGCTGGGGAGGTACTTCATCATATCTCACTAAAACGGAAGATGCATAACAGAAATGAAACTATTCTAGGCTATGAAGCACCCTAGGGGTTCATGAATGTTGGGGGAGGAACACTGATTATACAATGCAATAACATATTGAGACACTATTTCAGTTTTACACTTGGTATCAAGTAAATACAGGATATCTCACCCATGAAGGGTGATTATCTTTCATGAAGGGAGGAAATGAGTTATTAAGGTCTTTCTCAGGAGCAAAACAAGGATAAGAATCTTTATTAATGTAAGAAACATTTTTTTCCCCCTACAGTAATATACTTCCTTTTTAGCAAAGATATGGATTTTTTTGTCTTTAAATTGTCTATATCTCAGAATGGAACACATATCAGTTTTAGCTGACACCACTGCAGCGCTTGAGAATATTGTTATAAAACATGTGCTCATTTTTTTTATCTAGATCACAATTAATTATATTTTTAAGCATGCAATGTCTATCTCTCATAAAAACACTTGTAAAGTATTTGACATTTGATTTGAGGATATTAAAAGATTGTTTAAAAATAAACACACACCAGCAGAGCAGAATTTTCACACGATTATTCAGATAGTCAATAGGTCCTCTTTGATCATATTATTATGATGCTTCTGCTGGATTTCAGTCTAAGACAGGCGTATTTTTTGCTCTCTTTCTCTGTCTCTGTCTCTGTCTCCCCCTGCCCCCCCACCAAACAAGGTCATAGATTTTTTTAAATGAGGACTAGAAGTTCCAAGTACAAGATTAAGTAAGTTCTAACAGTGTTATAAAAGTAAGTGCTTTTTTCTATAATAAAAGGTGTTTAAAAGGTTCGCTACAGCTTTAAACAGAATTACAATTTACTTCTTTCAAGTGTCCAGGCCATAAATTCTTCTCAATTCCCTCTCTCTCTCCTTGTCGGAATTAATGAGATCAGATTTGATCAGGGCAGTGATGTGTTCAGAGCCAAATCACACAACAGCGCGCGTGCGGTAATGGAATTTGCATCTAATGCATACATAAATCAAACATCTTTCTGGACATTTTCATATGCATAATGTCATTTCATCCAGTTCTCTCTGTGCAGAGGGGGAGATTTTTCTCTCTGAGAGAATGACTTTCTTTAATGCTTTCATTTTATTTTCGCTGACTACAATCCCCGAGAATGCGCTCGGTCGGAGAATCTTTCGGGGCGCGGTTGACAGTTCCTTTTCCAAGAGGGGTCCTTCACATTTATCATGCCTCTTCCTCGGGGGCTTTGTTATGCAAATGTGGCTGAAATTGATAATTCCAAAGTGCTTCATTTCGGTTCCTTGGCGGTTGGAGATGGTAGATAAAAAGAAACTGACAAGACACACTGATTGCCCTCAATGCTTGTAACTCTCTTGCTAACAAGGCTCGATATTGTTAAAAATTCCTATTGTTATCAGGGTGGCAGTTCCATTATGCAGGCCTTGCAAATTTCTCATTTGAATATTAACCCTTTAATCACCCAGCTCTGCTCCCCTCCCCCAGCCCCAAGCCAGTTGCCCTCGGGTGGGTCAGAATGCAAACCAGGAAATTATTACCCTGTTCTTAGTGAAAACTATGTATGTCTGTGTTTTGTTCTGTTTTGGTTTTTTTTTGTTTCTTTTTATTTTTTTTATTTTTTTTTTCCCTAAACGGCATCTATTAATCATTTTCTTCAATGAGAATTTTTTACTCTTAAAAAAAAATAAAGGCTTTAACAAAACACATCTAGCAGAAACAGACAGAACTGGATTGTTTAAAGTTAGGTTTGGGAGAATATATACATCGAAATATCTGTTCAGAGAAGTCAAATTCAGTATCTCCTGGAGACTGGAGAAGTTTCATTATTTTTAACTTGTATGTACTCGCACTTTATGTTCTAACTTAGGTAGGCCTCAGGGAGGGGATAGCGTGTCTTTATATACCAGAGATACATGAGATTTTTAGCTGCCGGTCCTACTGGCTGCACCATCCCTGCCAGCAACTAACTTCCAGCCTACAGACAGGTGGCTGAAATAAAGGAGTAGAGAAAAAGGGAACTTGAGAACCACAAGGATTTCTGGAGCTGTGTGTTTTTTTAATCTTGAAGGATACATGCATGTAAATTCCACTGTTAAGCACATATTATTATTGACAGATTTCACTTGCATACTTACAAAATACTGTTAATAAATGGAAAGGGAAGGAGTGATTCAGGGACCTGATGCTGCAGCCCCTATGATTCACAAGAGTTTTGCTTGCATCTTCAGCAACAACAGCATCAGGCCCTAGAAATGACATAAAATCAGGAAATGGCAAGTTCAAGCTAAAGATTATGTCACACAGCAAAAGAGCATGACGGGTTGCTAACTGGTGTACTCACTGATTAATGAAATTGTGAGGTCTGGAATTTTGAATATCCCTCTAATATTCCCCTGTGAGTGCATATCCATAGAAGGTGAATTCTTTCCCACCAAGTGCATGCCTTCAGGCTCATATTACAATTATAGGTTAATTTTAGTTTGTCATTTTTCTGGGGATACCTGACACAGTTCCAGTTAAAGTAAATCTTGGTGTGACAAAGGTAAGTACTGCAGATGCTGGATGAAAGTGGAGAAAAGAAGAACTCGCGCTGTAAAATGAAACATAGTTCACTGCTATCACCAGGCAGCTGCAACAATATAATATTTCTACAATTACTAAGAAGATGCATCTCAACTAGCTCAAGTCAAAGGAATGTCAAAGTTTTCCACTTTCTTAGCTCTGAAGTCTTGCAGAGATGTGTCTGCCAAATTATAGTAAATAAAAAAGACACTTGCACAACAGTAACTGAAGATTTCTCTCCCCCACTCTATAAAAAAAAAAAAAAAGAGAAAGAAAATCCTCTCATGTTATTGTAGGAACTCTTGGGAAGCTCATACTTCTTCCTTTCATTTACAGGTGTGATGGCAGATTAAATCCATGACAGGAAACAGTGATAATGCCCACTGTAGAGCCATGTGAGTTACAACAGCTAAATTTCCCATGCTGGTACTTTTTCTTTCAATTATCTGAAAACACCCTGTTAATTTTTAATGTGTTCATACCCTCATTCTGTTACCAAAACTGCTACCTTC